TTCATATTTTACATGCATATTCATATATAGGCGGAGTCTTCCATCTTGGGTAGTCATCTGGTGGGAGTTCCGGTGCCTTCATCAGGGTGGGGGATTGTCTTGTGAGTCTTCCTCAGGTTAAACTTCTGAACTCTTCCTAATTTGGGTAGCTTCTTGGTGTACTTGGCAAGGTCAGAGTGACCTTGGTTCATCCTAAAATTGCTGAAGCCACTACTTCATGTTCTGGTGTTCCTTCCTATCAACTCGTTCTGTTCTCTCAGACAATTTATTACCTTCATGATTTGGTAAGATCCAGCAAATATAGCCTGACTGACCACAAACGGGGCCTGCAACTACTCAGAGCTATGACAAGAGAGGATGCAGGAATGTAGGGAGTAGTCCTGAGACCAGCACAATGATGTCTTGAAGCAGCAAAACAGTATTGTCGACCTTGTTAGGAGATAGGGGATTTAAAGAAGGAACCTAGCTTACATTTTAACTCCTTATTTCTCGAAGACTGCTTCCTTTGAGCGGTTTCATGACACTCCTCACTTCTGGACCTTGGTCATGCCAGAGTCCAAGTTCTTGTTACCCACAAGAGCTGTTTTATTAATGCAAATGGCAAGTGGAATATAGGCTTAGGGGGCAGAGGCTCGAGCTGAACCAAAAGAAAAGAAAGACTGGAAAATACAGAGAGAGGACAGTCAGAGAACTTTATAGAAAAGAGGCTTTGAAGTCTTGGAGTAGAAGGTCTGGGACTGCAGATGGGAAATGGATGTTTTGAGTCATTTTTCTCTGAAAAGCAAATTGCTTCCATAAAAAGTCAGGTTTTTAGTGAGCGATATAAATAATCTCCCAATAGCTAATAAGAATTCAAATCACTTTCTTATCCCTGAAGAACTAGAAATTAGGAAGAAAATGGGGGATTCCAGGGCAAAATAGAGAATGCAGGTATGCTCACATACATTTGGACCACCAGCATTAACGTTGATCTCTTTCCTACAGCTCTGCCAATACTCCAAAAAGATGTGCTCCCGTGGGTCCTGCCATGACTATAGCTCCTCCTGCCATGGATCCAGCTCTTCCTGCCATGGATCCCGCTCCTCCTGCCACGACTCCAGACCCTCCTGCCATTACACCATCCAGAGGCAGCCCGTGCAGAAGTACAGCTACGTGACACCCTGCTGCCCCCCTGTGCAGCCATATTGCCCCCCTGTGCAGCGTTACTGCCCCCCGGTGCAGCCCTGTTGCCCCCAGGTGCCCTACTGCCCCCAGTACACCAAGAACATCTGCACCCTGCCACCAAAATGCCCCAAGTACTAGAAGCAGGATCCGACTCCGGCACCTGGACCCACCGGCTCGCTCCTCCCTTGGATGATCTCAATGCCTAAAGCTTGACTCTTGTCTTTTCCTATTTTCAATTTGAGTGAATCTTCTAATACCTCATCTGTGATTAGAATCTTCTTCTAAACATAAATCAGATCTGTTTTAATTTATTCAGCATGCAAGCCTTTTCCAAAAAGGCTGGGCATGATTTCTGCTGGCAGGGGCTTACACAGATGTGTCAACCTCCAAACCAGGCACATGAGACAATAAAATTTCATTTACAAAAATATAAAAAGTTTATGATTTCTTTATTCTTTGACCTCTTTGCTTGAGAATTACCTTTACCTCTAACTTCTTAGTCATCGCTTCTCATTCTTTTCTTCTCAGACTTATCACAAAAGGCCCATATTCTAAAGTTTCAAAATGAGTGAGACCCTCCCTGGAGTACTGTGTCCAGCTCTGCAGTCTTCAACAGAGGAAGGACATGGACCTGTTGGAACGGGTCCAATGGAGGGGCCACAAAAATGGTCAGAGGGCTGGAGCACCTCTCCTATGAGGACAGACTGAGAGAGGTGCCATTGTTCAGCCTGGAAAAGAGAAGGCTTCAGGGGGACCTTATAACAGCCTTCCAGTACCTGAAGGGGGCTACAGGAGAGACGGGGGGGGACTCTTGATCAGGGAGGGGAGTGATGGGATGAGGGGGAATTGATTTAAGCTGAAAGAGGAAAGATTTTCGATGAGATCTCAGGAAGAACTTCTTTGGTGTGAGGGTGGTGAGAGCCTGGCCCAGGTTGCCCAGAGAAGCTGTGGCTGCCCCATCCCTGGAGGGGTTCAAGGCCAGGTTGGAGGGGGCTTGGAGCAACCTGGTCTGGCGGGGGGTATTACTGACCCAGGCAGCATGGTTGGAACTTGATGATCTTTAAGATCCCTTCCAACTCCAACCATTCTATGATTCCAGACACATTTCTGTGGGAGATTGATGCATTTATGGACAGCATTCAGGGACCTCATCCATACCCTATTTAGCCTAGGACTGTCCCAGTTCGCTACTCCAGCAGTACCTCATACTTCATTTGTCACTCTGACTCAGAATCACAAACATTTTGAGGTGTCTAAATGAATGCAAATAGGCACCCAGAGGTCTTCTCTAACCCTCCTTCTCTCCCTGAACTTCATGTGACTGTTTCCAGTGAAGATTGCACACACTTAAAAATAAATGCTAAACCTCTCAACTTTTTACAACCTAAGACTATCCTTATCTCCGCAGTCACCAGCCCATCTCGCTGAGCCATCTCTTCTAGAACAGGATCGCTCGCTTCCTTCTGCCAGTGCCTGTTTCTCTGCATCAGCTTCACAAAGAGCTCGACAACTGACTTCAGCTGAAATTATTCACTTCGGGTATCTCAAAAAGGGAGAGATGAACGCTGACGCAAGGGCTTTCCCCAAAAAGTACTGCTCTACCAGCCTAGATGAACCACTTCTACACTGTTCATAACTCACAACAGTTTTCAGAAAACTGCAGGTGAGATTTTCCTAAACAAGGGCTACCCCTTCACTTCGGGTATCTCAAAAAGGGAGAGATGAACGCTGACGCAAGGGCTTTCCCCAAAAAGTACTGCTCTACCAGCCTAGATGAACCACTTCTACACTGTTCATAACTCACAACAGTTTTCAGAAAACTGCAGGTGAGATTTTCCTAAACAAGGGCTACCCCTAAAAGACTTTAAAAACTCTCTCTTTGCTGAATCATGGCCTTGAAAAATAAACAAAAAGATCCCCATTCAGAACAAGAAACCACGCTCTTGTGGGATGTATTTTCAACTTCAGAATGAATTAGCGTCTCACAAAACTTGTCAGAGTAGCAAATTATTCTTTTTTTTCCCCAACTTTGACATGAAAATAAACCCTGAAAGATATGAAGACCATCTCAATAGGGATAGCTGCCCCCTTCTGAATTCAGTAAACAACTTTTAGGACCCCTTGTTCTACTTGCTTCAGAACTGACCCATGAGGTGTTCCCAAGGAGCTCCTTCATCATTCACCTGGGTAAAAGTCACAGGAAAGGAACAATTACCCGTTTCATTGCCCTAAAGTAAAGTCTTGGGGCACTGTGAGAGAAACTTGGTAGTAAATAGTGAAACACTGCAATGAGTAAAAATTACAAAACTGCTTAAGTAAGACAGAAGCCCGGAGCAATTTGGGACGTGAAAACAGGATGCTAATAAGTGATACCTTCCCAGCACAAATCCTTCCTACTTAGAATGTGAAATCCCCTTCTTATATGATAAAGGATAAAATCATGGCACAAGGGAAAAACAGCTCATGGCTGGTGGACTCACAACAGAATGAAAAAGACTGAAATAGGGGACATCCTTGTAGCGTCACCTCCATTGTCAAGGCACTGAGTGTGTTTGAACCAGTCAACAGGACTTCCCTCTAAGTAGAGCCCATGTGAGTTGTGGCTGTTAATTACAGTCCCTTGTGTCATGAGAAAAAACATATCAATCAAATGTGAGTCTGCCATGCAGACCAAGGGGCAGCAGGCAAGGTAGGAGTCAACACAATTGAATTGTACATTGATGCAATACTGGTTGCCCAACGACAAATCACTTAATAACTCTAGGGTTAGGTTGGCTTTTAATATGTAAATATGCAACTGCCTTCAAAATTCCCTTATAAAGCAGATTGGGAAACTCATTGCCTATTAACACGGTAAGGAAAAAGTCATAATTGGTTTTCCTGGCTGTGTCAAATCGGAAATGTTAAAAACTAGACACAGAAGATAAATATGAACGTGACTACTTAATTAATTGTCAGCATTACTAAGAGATGCATAATTTCTTGGACAACCCTTTGGAAGGTATAAAAGTCCACCATCCGCTGCTCTTCCTTCATTCAGCATCAGCTCTCAGTCCTCTCTTTCTCTCGCTTGCTCCAGCAAAGGGTAAGTTGGATTATATTGATTTATCTACTCACATAGGACTTCTAGCTGGCAAGTTCTGCAATTGGACCTTGCCTCTGTCTTAGAAATTTCTAATGTTTGGTGTAAACTACGCAGTCTTAGAAATTTCTTATGTTTGGTGAATGGGTGTAAACTACGCAAAGGGTGTTCATGGTTTCCTCACAGCAGATGGGACGACAGAAAAATAGGAGTAATTGAAGGACTGAATCTGCAAAGACACAGAGTCTTTGGGACCCAGCACGGAATTAATTCCCAAACTAGCTGGTGGTGGAGGGAGAGGTATCTCAGACAAGGCTGTGTGGTTTCAAAAGTAAATTTTACCTTAAGAACCCAACAGTAGCATCTTGGACGGCAAATTCCTGTCAGAGATGGACTGTTGTAGAGTTTTGGGACCCAGCACAGAATTAATTCCCAAACTAGCTGGTGGTGGGGTGGAGGGAGAGGTATCTCAGACAAGGCTGTGTGGTTTCAAAAGTAAATTTTACCTTAAGAACCCAACAGTAGCATCTTGGATGGGAAATTCCCATCAGAGCTGGACTGTTGTAGAGTGTCTTCCAAAAGACAAGACAGTAGCAATTTGGTGGTCAAGATATCTCATATGTCACAAAGGAGAGGAAAACAAAATTTCTCAGACCACTACAGAAAAATAGGCACAGGAAACGCAGAAGGTTATAGCTGTGTCAGCTTGATGGCATCTCTCTCTTCCCTGCAGCTTTGCCAACACTCCAAAAAGATGTGCTCCCGCGGGTCCTGCCACGACTATAGCTCTTCCTGCCACGGATCCAGCTCTTCCTGCCATGGATCCCGCTCCTCCTGCCACGACTCCAGACCCTCCTGCCATTACACCATCCAGAGGCAGCCCGTGCAGAAGTACAGCTACGTGACACCCTGCTGCCCCCCCGTGCAGCAGTATTGCCCCCCTGTGCAGCGTTACTGCCCCCCTGTGCAGCGTTACTGCCCCCCCGTGCAGCCCTGTTGCCCCCAGGTGCCCTACTGCCCCCAGTACACCAAGAACATCTGCAACCTGCCACCAAAATGCCCCAAGTACTAGAAGCAGGATCCGAACTCCATCACCTGGACCCACCGGCTCGCTCCTCTCGTGGACGCCGTGTCCATGGATCGTCTCATCCTTGCTGAATCCCTGGGTCTCTGCCATGTGTCTCACCGCTGGCCTGGGTGAAGCATTCCCCTAATTATCATCCAAGGTGTCATTCTTTCTAATTATTCAGGAAATGTGCTTTTTAATTATTCAGCGTATAATTACTGTTGGAAATCTTTCTGTGCCGTGCACTTCTTTTTTCAGACTCATCTGGGTGTGGGAAACAATAAATCTTAAATTTCATCAAACCTGCATTGTATTTCAATTTCGTTATTCACTTTTTCCTTTAGACTTTTTATTTTCCGGATTCTTCAGTCAAATACCTTGATATTCTCAAAGTGTCCCAACAGTTGGTGGCCAATAGCAATTCCCATGTTCATTTGTGAAAAAAAACAGACACATTAGTAGGCGGAAAAGTTCTCAAGTACCAAAATCTACATGGACATAAACGGTTGAGCAGATCAAAGCCTCTCCTGCTTACACCAGACTGCTCTACCAGATTTTTGTCCTGTTGTTTTGAAAACAATGAGATCAAAGACAATTGAATGGAAATTCTTTTGTTTTGGAGACAAGCACAGCTCATTAAATGAAAGAGGAGTAAGTAGTTCACAGTTGCTAATATTCTTACTCAATAAATGCAGTAATTTACTCTGAGCTCAACTTCAGAACTTGGACATACAAATATTTTCAAATATCTTAGTCCCTCTGAGCCTCTGAAAACAGAAGCCACAAACTTCTTTTACATATTCCAGTGTTGCTTGTCAGTGGTATATACTTTGGAGCAGAGAAATGGATTACTCCAGAGAAGGTCCATCTCATGTAAGACTCCTGTGCACTCGCACAGCAAGGACCTGAACACCACAATCTGTTATTATGGAGAGCTCATAAACCCAACACTGCTGAGCATTAACTCAGCAATATCAACCCCCACACTGCTCTAAAAATGACATGGCATCACTGTAGATTGGGCTTGCCTTATAAACTCCCCTAAAAGAAATGCAAGCAGTGGATGATAACTCTTTAAAGATCATGTTTCCAGTCTGTGAGGGGGAACTATACACAGCTGAGGAGGGACTTTTTACAAGAACATGTAGTGATAGGATGAGGGGGAAGGGTTTTAAGCTAAAAAAGGGGAAATTGAGCTGAGATGTGGGGAAGAACTTCTTTGGTGTGAGGGTGGTGAGAGCCTGGCCCAGGTTGCCCAGAGAAGCTGTGGCTGCCCCATCCCTGGAGGGGTTCACAGCCAGGTTGGAGGGGGCTTGGAGCAACCTGGTCTCATGGGAGATGTCCCTGCCCAGGGCAGGGCAGGGACTGGGTGGTCTTCAAGGTCCCTTCCAACCCAAACCATTCTATGGTTCTGTTTTTCTTAGCAGGATCTGAATTTGAAAGATTAAGAAACATTTTATCAGTGGGTGTAAACCTCAGACACCCCAGTTTTGGAAGACTGTTGAGGAGGTAGAAAGATTCCAGAAGAACCTTGGTGTCATGCTCCAGGCCAAAGTACAGTGGAAAGGAGAACTGTCACACAAGCACTGGCTTCACCGACTGGGCAGCCGCAGCCTCTCTTGGTTTTGGACCCGTAACGGAGTCACAAAATGTCCCTGAGGAATTCATGCAATCCTCCCTTGCTACACAAAACTCACCACAAGCAATTATATCACCTCTAGCCTGAAGAAAACCTGTAGGACACCCATACTTTAGAGAGAGCTTCTTGTTAGCAGTTAGTGAATTACTCTAATGAGTAACATTTTCCAAAGTTGATGAGTTAAAGGCTCCGTTTTACTACTCTTCAAAGACTGAGTCAAACGGGATTATAAATCCAGTTTTAATGCCCATAATTTCGCCACTAGTGAGAGAATCCAGTATTTGCTCAAACTTCTGCTCAAACTTCAGTTCAAACGCTCCTTTTCTCTGAATTCTCTGCTTTCCAGACATCTCTGCAGGTGAGGCCAGGTGAAAAAAATATAAAAAATCAGTGAAGGGAAAGAGAAACCAAGGAACAGGAAAACTTAATGTATTCGTACCATATACAGACCTCATCACCAGACATTTTTCTCTCATCTTAAGTACAAAATAACCATGGAAACATGCGGAATGATCTGATGGGGTCACTCAAGTCAACTGGCAAGTCAAGGAACTTGTGAAGAATTGGAAGTGTTTTATTTTTTGCTGCACCAGGGAACCAAGCAGGTCACGCTGGGCTTCCCAGCATCGTGCCATATCCATGACTTGCAGATGGTAATCCCATTTCCTGTTGGCATTCAACAACAGGCAAATTAAAATCCTGACTTGTCACCTCTGAAAAACAGTAGGGCTTACTCCAGCAGTCAGCATTTCTGAGACTTAAGGACCTTTCTGTCCCTGATGCAACCCCGTTTGCCAATTGGCAAGCTAATTAACACCTATGAGATTAGTGTCACTCTTCAGGAAATGGGAGAGAAACGTCTTCCAGAATCCTTATGGGAAATGCATTAGGAATTACATAGGGGATGAAATACAGTGCGTCAAAGAGGAAACACTAAAAATAGGATAGCGCAAACATCTGCACTATTGAGTGCGGAAATAATTAAATTGTCATTGCGAAGAGGTGTCTCATATCCGAGATAACCTTTTGGAGCTGTATAAAAGACCGCTCAGCCCAGTCCTCTTCAGTCGCTCACCTTCGCTTCCAGACACTTCTTCCTGTAGCTGAAAAGGGTAAGACCGATTTTACTATTTCTGTTCATGCTGAGAGAGAAGAAACGTCTACTAGAGGTTTTTATGGACCTCCTGGGAGCTGGGACTTAACTAAATACATTCTCCTTGTGATCTTGTGATACTTGGAGACAGGCACGACGAGCGGCAGATGGAGGGATGGGGATCACCAGGGAAGGTCCAGAAAGAGCACACAATGGGATCCTCGGGAGACACCAGCTCCATGCTGTTCCCCAAGGGAGATGGGGTTTGGGAGTGCCTCATGGAGCTCATACGTCAGCTTGAAGGGATCTAAATTCCGACTACAGTTGCCAGATTAGGCAGGATCAAGGGTGCATTCAGTCTGGATTAGGTGGTCGTAAAGAAAGAGATAAACAGTTCACCTGGGAGCTAAAGAAAAATTTCATTTTTAAAAGGGAGAGGGAATATAAGAAGTGGATCTGGGGCTCCTCTCACCATGTTGATCTCTTGTTCTTGACAGCTTTGCCAACACTCCAAAAAGATGTGCTCCCGCGGGTCCTGCCACGACTATAGCTCTTCCTGCCACGGATCCAGCTCTTCCTGCCATGGATCCCGCTCCTCCTGCCACGACTCCAGACCCTCCTGCCATTACACCATCCAGAGGCAGCCCGTGCAGAAGTACAGCTACGTGACACCCTGCTGCCCCCCCGTGCAGCAGTATTGCCCCCCTGTGCAGCGTTACTGCCCCCCGGTGCAGCGTTATTGCCCCCCGGTGCAGCCCTGTTGCCCCCAGGTGCCCTACTGCCCCCAGTACACCAAGAACATCTGCAACCTGCCACCAAAATGCCCCAAGTACTAGAAGCAGGATCCGACCCCGGCACCTGGACCCACCTGCGCAGCTTTGCCAACACTCCAAAAAGATGTGCTCCCGCGGGTCCTGCCACGACTATAGCTCTTCCTGCCACGGATCCAGCTCTTCCTGCCATGGATCCCGCTCCTCCTGCCACGACTCCAGACCCTCCTGCCATTACACCATCCAGAGGCAGCCCGTGCAGAAGTACAGCTACGTGACACCCTGCTGCCCCCCCGTGCAGCAGTATTGCCCCCCTGTGCAGCGTTACTGCCCCCCGGTGCAGCGTTATTGCCCCCCGGTGCAGCCCTGTTGCCCCCAGGTGCCCTACTGCCCCCAGTACACCAAGAACATCTGCAACCTGCCACCAAAATGCCCCAAGTACTAGAAGCAGGATCCGACCCCGGCACCTGGACCCACCTGCCTGTTCTTCACCCAAAGCCTCCAGCTCGTCTCCTTCCCCATCACTTCTCTGCCAGCAAACGCTTTTAATCGCATGGTTTTAGGATGAAGTCTCTCGGTTCAATCAGTTTTGAGCTGTTTATCTTCTTTCTGCCGATGCGAAGCACGCTGTCAGCTGGGAATAGCTTCTTTCGTTCTCTGCCGCTTGATTCTCCAGCAAGACAATAAAAATTATATTTCAAGCCTACCTAACAGTTCTGGATGTTTTTAGTCACCGCTCCATCATATCTGCTGGCCTGGCAGCATCTGTGTTTTTTTTTTTTCTCGTGGTTTTAGAGCTATGCTTTTATCACTGGTGAAAATAGCTAAAGTAGGAGGACCACCAAGGAAAAATGAAAGGCAAGGGAAATGCCTGCGGCGCCCACTAGGGATGCCAGGAGCACTGCAGCTCGCACCGAGGGCTGGGAGAAACACTGAATTTCACTGAATTTCACTGAATTTTTTAGAGTTGGAAGGGACCATAGAGATCATCTAGTCCAACTCCCCTGCTGAAGCAGGATTGCCTAGAGCTAGAGCATGTTACTCAGGAGCATCCAGGCGGGTCTTGAAGATCTCCAAGGAAGGGGACTCCACACCCTCCCTGGGCAGCCTCTTCCAGGGCTCTGTCACCCTCACCGTGAAGAAGTTTCTCCTCAGATTTGAGTGGAACCTCTTCTGGTCCAACTTGTGCCCGTTGCCCCTCGTCCTCTCAGTGGGAACCACTGAAAAGAGTCCGGCTCCCTCCTCCTTCAACCCTCCCTTGAGATACTTGTAGGCGTTGATAAGGTCTCCCCTCAGCCTTCTCTTCTCCAGACTAAAGAGTCCCAGCACGTCGGGTTAATTCCTGGTGAAACTATTTGCACTGAGCTCAGCAGATGCAACGGGGGGTTCAGGGTTACAGCCAGGGGGCCTGGCCTACACGTTCATATGTTTACTGCAGATGCAATCTTTAAAAGCCGCTGATATATTTGGAAACAAAACAAAACAAATCCTGCAGGGCCTGGAACATCCTCAATTATACAATTTCTACAGTGTGAAATGAGAGAAGGTTTCCCCAGCGTGATTCACCCATCCCAGGGCAGGCATGGGAAATAGGCTGGATGAGCTGGGTACTGCAAGTACGGAGTAAATGAGTGGTTGGTATATAAGTAATTTGAATTTGCTATTTATAGGTTGTGGAGAAAATTGTCATTATAAAGGAATAGCTTGCTAAAAAGGAAAAGTTGCAAACAGGATGCAGAGGGAAATTAATTACTCACCCACATTCAAGTTGTTGTCATCACTAAAAGACAGCTCATTTTCATGCGACCCTTGGCAGCTACGTTAAAAAAACATTTCCTTATTCATTCTTCACCTCTTCGAGTTGGGTTCTGAGTCAATAAAGGCTTTCTGTCCATAGGAATGGTTTTGTCTTCAAGGATATACTTTCACTTTCCCTCGCTGCCCCAGGCCTCCAACTTTCTATTCTGTGACTAATCACCACATATTTTACTTCCTCTTCCCTTTCCAAGTCCTACGAAAAGCACAAAACCTCTGAACTGGTTGCACTTTCTGCTGTGCTCAAGCTTGAAGTTCCCGTTTACTTGAGGATGGGAAATGTCAGCAATAATGGGGAAACAAGAATGAAGTTCATTTCTATTTTATTTTACCCCATTCCATTCCATTCTATTCCAAGCTTTTCTCAGCCCTGGAGAGATCCAATGCACTTTCTGCTGTGCTCAAGCTTGAAGTTTACTTGTTTACTTGTTTACTTGAGGATGGGAAATGTCAACAACAGCGGGGAAACGAGAATGAAGTTAATTTCTATTTTATTTTACCCCACTCTATTCCATTCCATTCTAAGCTTTTCTCAGCCCTGGAGAGATCCAGCTCCTGGAACCAAAGGCTTTATGAATGCTTTACCTTATTAGAATACTTTTTGAAGGCTTTATGAATGCTTTACCTTATTAGAATATTTTTTTTAAAAAATCAGAGACCATAGACATTTGGCAAGAGAAGTCCTCTACACCTAACGCTCAAGATGATAGCTTAGAGGAACATTTCTGCTCTGCTGAGTCTGTGTTAAACGATGTAACAGTGGATTTCCACAACCAGGATAAACCATTAGCAAACCCCTAAGGATTAATGAGGAGGAATTTGCTTTCACTGTTTCACAGCGAGGATTGCTTCACTGCACCCATCATTCCCAAATCCAAACAAACAGAGAGGTGTCACCCTGCCCGTCTTACGGAGCGGGCTAAGTTCATTCATTCAACGTGAAATCTAATTGGGATCTTTGTTTGGATCTAATTTGAAACTTTTCTTTTGTAAAACTCCTCTTGTAAAATCGGTTATGGGTCTTCCAGCCACAAATGGGTCTCTCTCAAGTGGCTTTAGTCATCTCCGATGTCCACATCCAGCTCTAACAGCAGCAGTGGGTTTTTTGACTCAGAGGGACACTGGATGAAACAAAGCTGCAGAAAATCACTCATAAAACTGCCTCATTTTGAACCAATACCTCTTACTTTATCTCACGGCTCAGGATCCCGTCTTTCTAATGTCGGAGTCTCTTATCATTTTTCTGCAGGCTCAGAAAGCCCCTCTGGGCCATCTCCCAGGTTGCCATGAGCCTCTTTTATTGCTGGTGAGATGCAGGTACTCAGCTGGTGTCAACCTCTATCACTAATTAGATTATAATGTGTGGCAGTGACCTTGTCTAACCCGGTCATTAACATGAAGCCAATCTCAATAGGAAATGAAGCCTATGTTTTAGGGGATGGGCACCTTGACCTTGGAAAGAGCTTCTCCTTGCCTGGAGAAGTGTCGACCTCATGGTCCTTTGAGTTCTTCAAAGCAGGACTGGGTAGCTTTCTAAAAACTGGTATGTGGCCAAATAAAACCAGTAACTGCTCAACAGAAACTGAGTGGAAATGGGGGCTTTGTGTCACCCAGAGTCAAGCTGAAGGTTCACCATGACCTATCCTGTCCTCAGCATCTCTGATCCGGATCTCACCTTGTTTCTGTATGAACAGAAACAACCTGAATCTTCTCTCCTTCACTTCAGGTGAAATTAGGAAGCCGTACTCTGCAGGGGAGGGTGGTCAAGGCTCCTTCGTGCTCTGCTCCCCCAGAGGCACAGCCATGCAACAGCAGGAGTAGCCCTTCTCCTTGGTGTGATCTCAGAAATGAAATATTTAATCACGTCAATCACAGTCCCGGGTCCCATGAATTCCTTCTGACCGGAGAGAGATAATTTTTTTAAAAAGACGTCGTTTAATTTGAAATTCTAAAAATGCGCAAGGCATCACGTGAGGCCTTCGGGCTTTCCTGCAAAATAAATATTAACATCATTAATGAATAATTGCAACACAATCATTTACATCAACATTAATGACTGCCAAAGGGTGACTGAGAACTGAGCATAGAGTTATTCCAAAAATACCTTCCGTAGGTGGATCTTTCATTACTCGAGGGCACACTAGAACTTAAAAAATGGAAGAGGAATTTTGCTGATCAAGTTATGCTAAGCAGAAACAGGATGTAAAAATTCCAGAAAAGTTTTGCGTTTTGCTTTTATTTAAAGATGTCAAAAAGGAAGTGGAAAAAAGCGGGCTCCGGCTTGACCCAAACTCTACTGCAAATTTTCACAATGAATTTGCACAATTCTTTGCACCTAGAATTGCTGACATTGGCAAGGCCAAGGGCATGTGTCTTCCCATGCATGGATGGGATGATGCAGCAACGGTTGAGATGTCAAGAACTTTCTGTTACATTTTTGCCCTTCTGATGACCAAAGACCCCAAATAAAGACATTAAGATTCACCATTTTTGCATTCAAAACCAAAACACGTGGCCACGGAATTACACTTGTTGGAATTCAATTTAAAAAAAATTCATATCGAGGAGTGATTGACGTCCAGAAGGCCTCTGCATATGTCTGGAATCCACTGCTCCTAAATCTTAATTATGATTTGTATGTTAATTGAGCACTCACTAGCTGCAAACAAGCCACGTAGCACCTCAATGCAGCAGCGTTACCATATGCAAAATGCGCAGAAACATACCTTTGAAGCAGTTCACAAGCATCACACAAGAATTAACTTGACATTAAAAAATTGTAAAAAATTTACAGAACAAATTGCTAATAACACAAAATTGAGGGGTTGGTCAAATCAATGAGGCAAAGACTAAATGGACGAAGGCACATTCAACAAATAAGTATAGGCTTAGTGCGTAAATCACAAATTGCTGTGGGGTACCTCATTTCCGGCAGGACAATTTCGGGCTGAATAAAAGGTGTCCCCCCTCCCTTTGCTCCTCACTCAACTGAACCACTCAGTCAAACACGGTAAGTGTTAGCAGTGGTCCTGGGGAGCAATGGTTCTCAGTTGGTTTTGGTCAAGCAATGAATGGAAATGCATCTTCATAACTGAACTTCCTAGGGTGTTGGACTAGACGACCTTTAAAGGTCCCTTCCAACCCAAAATAGTCTATGATTCTATGGTTCTTTGGTCTACAGCTCTCTCTGAAATCCAGAGATTTTTCCAAGCCTGTTGGCCTATTGCTTGTTGCAAAAGACAGTGGATGGAGAGAGCACAGTGGGAAATGAGCTTCTTGGGATGGAAATTCAGAGTGTGGTCTTCATGGATGAGCAGAGGAAAGATAGTTTCCAGGAAAAGTTTAAAAGATGCCTAAATATCGGTGGGATAGTGACAGGTGACTTGGTTTCTGTAAGGATCTTGGTTTGCAACTCAAGATAGATAAATAGGAAACGGTGTGTGATGTGGCTGTCACCCATGGGCCTAGACAACACCACCCTTGGAAAGATGGGTTGTATCTGAAAGTACTCTGTGTTTCAGATCCTCACTCCTCCCAGCTTCGGCTACCCTACAAACAACATGTGCTCTACTGGATGTTGCTCTACCGGATGCTGCTCCGTCGTGAAGAGCAAAACGGTGTGCTGCAGCCCATGCCAGAAGACCGTCTGCTGCGAGCCATGCCGGAAGACCATCTGCTGCAGCCCGTGCCAGAAGACCGTCTGCTGCGACCCCTGCCAGCAGTCCTGCTGTTGCGACCCATGCCAGAAGCCCTGCTGTGACCCATGCTGTGACCCATGTTGCCAGAAGCCCTGCTGTGACCCATGCTGTGACCCATGCTGCCAGAAGCCCTGCTGCGACCCATGCTGCCAGCAGTCCTGCTGTGACCCATGCTGCCAGAAGCCCTGCTGCGACCCATGCTGTGACCCATGCCAGAAGCCCTGCTGTGACCCTTGCTGCCAGCAGTCCTGCTGTGACCCATGCCAGAAGCCCTGTTGTGACCCTTGCTGCCAGCAGTCCTGCTGTGACCCATGCCAGAAGCCCTGTTGTGACCCATGCTGCGACCCATGCTGCCAGCAGTCCTGCTGTGACCCATGCCAGAAGTCCTGCTGCGACCCATGCTGCCAGCAGTCCTGCTGTGACCCATGCCAGAAGTCCTGCTGCGACCCATGCTGCCAGCAGTCCTGCTGTGACCCATGCCAGAAGTCCTGCTGCGACCCATGCTGCCAGCAGTCCTGCTGTGACCCGTGCCAGAAGTCCGTCTGCTGTACCAAGGTGTGCAAGAAGTCCCTCTGCTGCTGTAGCCACCCTTGCCCACGTGTCTGCTGCTGCTGTGGCTGCTACCCCTGCTGCTGCTCCTGCTGCTCCTACGTGGTGAAGAAGAAGCCTGTTGTGGTGTGTTGCACCCCCGTGCAGTGCTGCACGAAGAAGTACTGCATTCCCATCCAGCAGTGCTGCGCCAGCATCAAGAAGTGCTGCTGAGCCAGCTCCAGGTGGCAAAAGCAGCTCTGCCATCTCTGGGGTGCCAGAAGAACAGGCACAAGGAGATGGAAACCTGCTCATTTGCTTCTGGTTCACACGACGATGGAGTAAACACCTAGCGATTTTCTTCTCGTTTTCCCACTTGAGCTGTCTTCTTCTTTCTGTCCTTTAATTACGGAACATCTGCAGCGCACTTGAATATGTCACCCACTGTACAAGGCAAAGAGCTGTTTGATGTTAGTGGAGCTGTTAATTCTCTTCTTGGTGTATGGGACATGGGATACCTTTTTCTGTTTCTGTGATCGTTCTTCGTTTTCTCTCTTGACTTGTAGACAATAAAATTTAGCATTAAGCAAAACTCAAAATCTTGTCTTTTGGTTGTTCTTACATCGCTTTATCTGGGGTGTGTCCTCATTCTGGTGTCGGTGTCTGTGCCTTCAGCCAGGCTCTTACTGGCCACAAATGTGCTCCTGTGGCACAGCAGAACATTTAGGGGAAAAAAGAGCTGCCCAGCCAGGCTTCCCATTGCCATAAATCAAGTCACATCTAAAGACAAGGAGCCCCTTGAACCCCTTCTCGAACCCACTGGTATCTGCCTCGGTTAACTCAATTTTTACTATGAAACTAAACGGTTAAGGTAAATAAAACCCAAAGGACAGAGACCGAAAGAAGTGTGCATAATTCCACCATCTGAGAACACACCACACCATAAGATACACAGGACCCCACCCCTGATACTGGAATAAGTATTTCAATAGTTATCGAGAGGAATTCACTACTCACTGGACAGCAGACACCGTCTTCTTCCACTACCATCTTCCAAAATAAAATTTCCCCTTAGATCAAGGAATTATTTTTACCTGAGCAGAGATTTTCATCTGCAGCGTTCCTGGATTACCAGCAGTGGAATGAAACCCAGGCGTTAGCATCCAACTTAAAAGCTTCATTCCTAAAATAGCACACCCATGAGTCAACAATGCATTTTCTACCTGGCTGGGACTTCCTTTACCATTAAAATTCAGGACTCGGCTCTGAATTGCATGTCTCAGGAAACCGCCTTGAGCACTGTCTTGATTGCTTCCCTCAACCAAATCTTCAGCGCAAACACAGAGTCTGCATTAGAATAATCTTTGCTGCCACGTTAGAGCCTTCTGAAAACATTACTCAGGTCTTCAGGAGTTTTTTTATTAATAGTAAATCAGGTACCGTGCACTGGCAGAAGGATATCCTATACCATACCGTACTATATCAAAAATGCATTCTGTTAAGGAAATCTTGTGAATATTAATTTCATCATATGCTGGAAAAGCTGCCCTGATTGATTCCTCCCCATTTACAAATGTACTGCAGATCTCAAATTCACATAACCACCATGGAAGTTTACAAAGTCATAATGATATGTCATGGCATGTAAAAGGGATCTAGTGTACATGTTATTTCTCACCCAACTATACATTAAATTCCCAGTGTAGCCTCAATATCTGTACAAAACCCATATTAGCAACAGCCTTGTAGGGTTGACATCAATTTCTAAGAAAGACATGGACCAGAAGAGGCTGCAGAGATACTGGGAGGGCTGGAGCCCCTCTGCTGTGAGGACAGGCTGAGAGACTTGGGGGGTTCAGCCTGGAGAAGGCTCCTGGGAGACCTTCAAGCCCTTTCCAGACCCTAAAGGGGCTCAGGGAAAGCTGGGGGAGACTCTTGATCAGGGAGGGAAGTGATGGGACTAGAGGGAAGGGTTTGAAGATGAAAGAGGGGAGATTGAGATGAGATCTGGGGAAGATCTTCTTTGTTATGAGGGTGGTGAGAGCCTGGTCCAGGTTGTCCAGAGAAGCTGTGGCTGCCCCATCCCTGGAGGTGTTCAGGGCCATGTTCGACTGGGCTTGGAGCAATCTGGTCTAGTAGTAGATGTCCCTGCTCATTGAAGAGAGTTTGGACTAGATGATCTTTGAAGGTGTCTTCCAACCCAAACAATTCTATGATTCTAACATAGGGATCATCTTGGCCAATATGGCAACAATAAAGCCTGATAAAAAGGCAATGAATTATTTATTCGGTGGACAGCATGTTTGAGGATTTACACAAAGAGGGCATCACTTCCTGCAGGCAGGTATTTGGCTATTATCGTGTGACGAAATAATGCTCCCCTAGGGACAATTCCAGAAGAGTCACCCAACATCCTAAGGAGGTTATGTTCACATCTTGGGAAGAAACTATGTGTCTCAGCCACCCGGGATGACCTGCCACCACTCCAGCCTCACACTGAGAGTCTGCTGAATATGATGGCAGACTTTATTTACCATGAACAGGTGCTTTCTCAGCATCTTGGCACTGTCTTCTTATACTGGTGGCCCTTCTCATCATATGAAAGCACCGTCAGCACCTCCTTCTTCTCACATGAAGCTGTCCTGGTGCTTCACATGACCACAATTCCTCCGTCCCCAAGCCTGTTTTGTACTATATGCCTTGACTCCAAACATCTTATCTTTCGCCTCTTGACTGGTCAGCCAAGTTTTGCACACACAGCAGCCTTGGCCATAGCACACGGCAACCAAAACAATTATAAGCAGTGGTTGAAGAAGTCCTCTTGGGTGCCTGGACTTAGAGCATCTGAGAGATTTGCTGTGCTCCCATGGTATCACAGAATCACAGAATGATGTGGGGTTGCAAGGGACCTCTGGAGATCATCTAGTTCAACCCCCCTGCCAGAGCAGGTCCACCCAGAGCAGATCCCACAGGAACGTGTCCAGATGGGTTTTGAATGTCTCCAGAGATGGAGACTCCACCACCTCTCTGGGCACCCTCTTCCAGGGCTCTGCCACCCTCAAAGGAAATAAGTTCCTCCTCATGTTTAGATGTAACTTCTTATGTTCAAGTTTTTGCCTGTTACCTTTTGTCCAGTCCCTGGGCACCACTGGAAAAAGACTGACCCCATCCTCCTGGCACCACCCTTTAAGTATGTATAGACGTTGATCAGAGCCCTCAGTCTTCTCTTCTCCAGAATAAAAACACCCAAGTCCCTCAGCCTTTCTTCCCAAGAGAGATGCTCCAGACCCCTCATCATCTCTGTAGCCCTCTGTTGTACCCTCTCCAGCAGTTCCCTGTCCTTCTTGAACTGAGGAACCCAGAACTGGTCCCAGTGCTCCAGATGGAGCCTCCCAAGGGCAGACTACAGGGGCAGGATAACCTCCCTCAACCTGCTGGCCACTGTCTTCACCTGTGGGCCACACTCTTCTGGGGAAAGACATGAATAAATGCACTCAGGACTGGATTTCCAGTCTTGAACCTCATGTTTACCTACAGTGACCAGAAGCAAACTATTAGTGTGAAACACTCAAATGTGATCATCACGAATGCCCTTAAATGCAAGGTGGTTTGGTCCCACAGACCTTAGAAATAATCTCAGAAAACGGAGATTTGGTGTGTTATATGGAAACAACACACCAAAAAGCTAAACGTGTGCACTGCTGCTTTGAAAGCCACTTAATTTAGGCTTAATCCATCCCTTCCATGGATGAAAATGAAAAAAAAAAATTCTTAATAGTTTAGCAGATATAAAAAGTAGAGGGTGTGAGGACCAAGCACCATGGAGAGAGACCCAAGAACAAGCCTGAGAAAGGAGAAACTCTTCAGTCTTAACTTTGACCAATCATCCATCTCTCAGAGGCAGGAAAAAGGAATCATGGTGACCAATAGTTTCCACTGGTCCCCCAAAATCCCAGCCAGGGGCAGAGGCAACACATGATGGGTGACATTTCCAAGTTCCAGGCATGGTTTTCCCACTGTTTCAGCACCCGCCTCCCCCGGGGCACATTGTTAAGTGTCTCTGTGTCTCAAGGTCATTCCTTGGCGATGGTTAGGAACACCTAGCAGCTATCTCCGGCTCCCATGAATGCAAATTCATTAGAAAATTTGCACCTGTTGTTTGTACGTACAACTAATTACCACGCAGAATTGAGGTGGTGAGCAAACAGAAAGAGGGAAAGATTAAATACCGGAAGACATGTGAGGAACGTGTGCAGGGTGATACACAGTGAAGTCAGAATTGTCAAATAATGTCTCATTTCCAGGGAGGGGGGGCTTGGACCATATAAAAGGCTCCCCAGCACAGAGGTCTTCATTCGCTCATCTCAGCTTCTCCTCTCTTGTCCTCACAGGTCAACAGGGTAAGTCAAAGCTTGCTTTTCATTTGCACTCTACCGTACTTCTGTCTGCTTCTGCAGGAAACCATCCTGGATTTCCTGCACTCTCTGGTTTGGGACCAGTTTTGGGAGATTGGTTTTGGGTGGCTTTTTTCTGATGGAACCAGTGGTGGACAATACGTCTAGTGTCCAACACGAAAATGTGGAGATCTCAGGCATAGGCTGTTGGGGGGTTCTGGACAGTGGGGATTTCCCCAGCAAGGCTGGGATGGACTTTGGGATAAACGTGCTTTAAGCTGCCTAAACAACTGGGATTTTTACACACAGTAAAAGAGACTCTCTTTGTTCCTTCCAGCTTTGCCTACACTACTACCAACAAGATGCCCAACGGTTGCGGATGCTGTGGTGGAAATAACTACTCTGTGTGCTGCTACAGCACCAAGAAGTCGTGCTGCAAGACGCCGTGCTGCCAACCCATGCAGTGCTGCTGCCCCTCCACCTGCTGCATGCCCATGCAGAGCTGTTGCATGCCCATGCAGAGCTGCTGCATGCCCATGACCTGCTGCTACACCATGAGCAACAACAGTGGCTGCTGCGGTGGCAGCGGTGGCTGCTGTGGTGGCAACTAAACTCCACTCTCTGCTGCCTTCCTCCTGGCTCATCTGACGATGGATATGGATATGGATATGGACGTGGACATGGATATGGATACCACCCTAAATGCTATTCCTCCTTTGCTTAGAGACTGTATATCTTTCCTCTTCTCCTGCCTTTAATCATCAAATGCTTGTAACGTCCTTTGAAGTTGCTACCGGTGTGATTTCCCTTAGTCCTGCTGTTAATTTTCCTCTTGGTATGTGGGATGTTTAATTCTTTTCCTTGTTGATTTGCTTCCAACTGTCTGAAAAAAAAAAAAAAAAATAAAATCTGTAGTTCTTGACCCTGCAAAATGCCTGGTGGTTATCTGTTTGCTGGCTGGTGCATCCAGAGTGCATGACCAGACCTACCACATTTTCCTTGCGTTTTATTCCAGTGTTGGGATACTCTGGTATAAAAGGTGCTAACTAGGGGGGGTTGCCTACACAAAGAAAATCAGTGCATCTCCGGTGCAGTTCTCAGCTTCTGCCTAGGTCTGTTCAAACACAAGCTGAGTGCCTGGCATCTCTGTGAGAAATAGTTCTCCTCTCGCTAGAAAACTACAAAGAAATAGGAAGAAAATAATACATAAACTCGAAAAGGATGTGACAAAGACACGTCCCGACTAGGACAGCTCCATGGATTTCAACCAGCTAGAGGTCTACTTCAGAACCTACAGACAGTCCCTAAAAACAGTGTAACATTTATGAGATGGAGGTCTTGCCTCTGCCCAAATGTCTGGGTTAGCAGATATTGGGTTGAGCTGTTAGAGCCAATGGTGAGAAAGCTCAAGGAGTGATTGCGCCAATGAGAGTTGTACCAAAACATGGCATGCAAGAACTGCACCACAATCCTCATTCTGTGTCTAATGCCCTTTACTGACCCTCTTTCCACACTGATTCAGTCCCTTTTTGCATTAAAATCCACATCCCGCTCACCAGAGACCATTCAAATACCCAGGTTACACGAATGCAACTATCATGGGTGGGAAATGCCTAGATCATCACTTCTTGCAGTTGCAGGATTTGCCAATAAGAGTTTTGCCTCTGGAGGCAAAGTGAAGGGAGCCCCTTTGTTTCTGTCCTATTAATTCCTTGTAAATTAATCAATTCTCATG